GCATCTATAATAAAGTTTTTAAAAAAAAAAAAAAAAAAAATCAAAAAAGAAAAAAAAAAAAGAGAGGATTAAATTTTCTCCACATCACCGATGAATTAATTAATTATTATTATATTATTTATTATTTTATTAAGTAAAAAAGAATAATGACCTATTATAAGATTATATAATTAGTAATGATTTTTAAGTTTAAAGAATAAATAAAGATTATCAAAAATAAAATAAATAAAATAAATAAATTAGCTATTAACTATTACACGCGTTTTACCATCTAAAGTTAAAATAAAAGTTAAAAATGTGAACTGATTATCTTTTTTTTTTTTTTTCGCTATATGACGTAAATGACGCAGTATTGTTAATCGTAAAAGTACATCATCAAATCAGTACATCAGTACATCAATTTTTTTTACTATGAATTAATGAATTAACCACTAAATTTACTTCGTCACATCAAAAAAAATACAGCACATTCAAATAGTTTACGTCATATTAATTTAACTGGCAAAAAAATATTTTTTTTTTTTTTTTTTTATAAAATTTTGATATTGTATATAAAAAAATGTAAGGTGATATGATTGAAAAGGGTAGTAATATATTGGAAGGGTAGTAATATATTGGAAGGGTAATAAATTAATATATTGGAAGGGAAGTGAGGTTTTTTTTTGAATTAGGCCATAAGCGCCACAAGTGCCACAAGTGCCATAAATGCTATAAGTGCCATGAGTGATATCGTGATATCATCCAAGAGCCAAAATTATTATTATTTATAAATAATAATCCTTTTGTTATTGATATGTAACTAAAAAAAAAGAAAAAAGGTGTCGGTGAATTCTTTCCAAAAAATTTCAAATCATTTAAAAGAAAATCTAGAATAATACTTACTAGTGTTAACAGATTCTGTAGAAGAAAATGATGAAGCATTAGCTGATTTTTCGACATCAATTCTGGTTAAATATTTGCTCAAAGGTTTACTATAATAATTATTATTTCTAAGCAATGTAGGAGTACGAGAAAGTGAAAGAGGTAGTTTTGATTGACGTTTAACTTTCTTCTTTGTAGTATTATTAGCAGAAGAAAATTGATTTAATACATCCTTAGATTTATTTGATAATCTAATTTTTGTAGCGGATAAAATCCAAATCCATTCATCAATTATACTTGTAATCGATTTGGCAGAAGGTCTATTAAACGGATCGGAATCCCAACATCTTTGTATTAAATCAACAACACATTTAGGAATTTGTTGATCATCAATTTCAGGACGAATATTATTACGTATATCATCGACTAAAGCTTTATCATTACTATATTCAAAGAAAGGAGCTTGATCCGTAGATAATTCCCACATTATCATACCAAAACTATAAATATCAGATGATTTGGTATAATAACCTTTTTCAAATACTTCAGGAGCAACATAAGGTATAACACCATATGGATTAACAGTGATTGGATTATTAGGATCAAAACATAAAGGTATATCAAGAATTATTTCCCTAGTATTACGATAATTAGATTTTTTCTTCTTAATACGAGATGATAAAGTTTGCTTTTTTAATACATTTCCTGTATGTAAATCACCATGAACAAATTCATAATTATGAAGTAAATCAATTGATTTTGAAATCTCTCTAAGAATCAATAATTTATCGGACCATAATAAAGTAGAAGATTGTTTACGAAGATAACTTCTTAAATCACCATCTTGAGCACATTCTAATACCAACATATAACCTTCAGTAGGATGTTTAGTGAAACCATAACATCTAACGATATTACCATTATTTACTGCACCATATAAAAGAATTGAAACTTGTTCTTTTAAAAATTCTGGATTAGAAATTTGACCATTATGTAAACGTTTTAGAACGATATCAACCATTTCACCGGTTTCAAAATGATCCCAAGTACCAGAATAAACTGAAGTGAAACCACCATTCGCCAAATATTTTATATCAATTAAATCATCGTAAGGTATCCATAATAAATAAGATTGATTATTTATTGCGGTTAATTGAGAACGTTGTATAAAATCATCAATGTATTCATTACCACTTGTCCAACTTTTGAATTTTGATTGAAATTCATTAGAAGAACATGATTGACAATATTTATAATCTGTTAAAGTATCTCCACATTTTAAACATATACCGTATTGTTTACGACGTACTTTTAAATCTTTTAATGAATTCGATTGTTGTGATTGTTGTTGTGATAATTCTCTTTTATCGGAAGATTTCTAAAATAGAAAAAGCAAAGAGGAAGAAAAGAGGATGAGAAAAGATTAATAAAATTTTAATTTATGAAAGAAAAAAAGAAGATAATGATATGATTATGAAGATAAATACTTTTGATTTGTTATTAAAATACCAAGAACAACATCCAAGAGCGGCAAGTCTATTTAAATCCATTCTTTATTTTTTTGTTTTATATATTAATTTTATAAAAATAATAAAAATGGTTCAGTCTTTTTTTTTGATTTTTTATACGTTTTTTTATACGTTTTTTTATATGATTTTTTGGGGTGTAGGTAAAAAAAAATTTATTCTGGGAAGAGGGAGGGAACCGAGGAATATATTTATAATTGCTCCAAAAAAGCACTAGTTAGATAATGGTAATAATATACATATTTTATTCTAATATAAAAAAAGACTTTGATGATTATGAATTACGATTGGTCAAAGTTGTGTATCAAAAACAAAAAAATATAGTGTACTGTGTAAATATATAAATAATATATATGTTCATTATTATACTGTATTCGGGGTTATTTTTAAACCGAACTAATGACTAATGAGTCTAATGACTAATGAACTTAACAATAACTATAATAATTACTAAATTCGTCAAAATCGAAATTTGCCGTAGAAAATTTTTTTTTTTTTT